CTCCTGGGGGCTGGGTATATAGTTCAGTTGGTAGAGTGTTTGCCTTGTTTGTATTTATAAGGTCCTGGGTTCAATCCCAGCACCACAAAAAAAAAAAAAAAAAGAAGAAAGAAAGTACTATTGGGACTGAGATTGTGGCTCAGTGTCCACCTACCAAAAAAAAAAAAGTACTATCAAAGTCTAGCATTCAGTGGATAGATTAATCTAGATAAATGAGATTATTTATATAGCATCTAACATTTTAATATGTAAAAACATGCACTATGGAAATTTAATTGGCATGAACAAAGTTCCTTTTGCTCAGTGTAGATTCATATACACATCTTATTTTAAGTAAACCTGATCTACAAAATATATGAAGTAGAAAACTACATCTAATCATTTTTATGTTGGCTGTAATAAATAATGCTATGTTGGTACTGCCAAGCGTCTACTGAATTTTGGTAATTACTAGCAAAAATTTCCAATTCAACTTTTCTTTAGAAAAGTACCTACATCTATGGGCTGGGGATGTAGTTAAGTGATAAAACACTAGTCTAGCCTATGCAAAGCCCTGGGTGCAATCCCCAGTACTGCAAAACAAGATGAAAGCAAAATTTGAGTAACATTAATCTGATAAATAAAGTCAAAGTTCTAAGGGAGAAGAATTTTCCTTTAAAGCTTCTGATAGCTAGGTACAGTGGTACATATCTGTAATCCCAGCTACTGGGGACATAGGGTAGATGGGTTAGAGGATCATAATTCTGAGGCCAGCCTGGGCAATTTAGTGAGACCCTGTCTCAAAATAAAAACTAAAAAAGCATCCTTCAGTTCAATTCCCCGTACTGGAAAAAAAGGAAAGAAATGTATTTATAATAAAAATAAATTTTAAGGGGTTAGGGTTGTGTGGCTCAGTGGTAGAGCGCTTGCCTAGCATGTGAGAGGCACTGGGTTCAATTCTCAGGACCACATATAAATAAGTAAATAAAATAAAGATCCATTAACAACTTTACTTATATTCTGTTCAAGCTGCTCTAGTAAATAAATAAATTTTAAATATTTGCATTCACATTATGGGAATTTGCTCTAGAACAGTTTGAACAGAATATAAGTAATCTATATGTTAAAGTATACCTGTATTTGGGTGTATTTGGGTTAGGATGTGGCTCAGCAGTAGAATGCCTGACTAACACAAGCAAGGAACACACACACACCTAATCTTGGTTAACTGTTTTAAGAGGGAGGCAAAGCCATTTAATACCTTGGGTCCCACAATGTAATGACAATGGTAGTGTCTTTCATGAATAACAAAAATGGATAATCTATGACATTTTAAAAGATAAAAATATAAGCCAAATATACACCAAAAGGCAATTCCTATCCTAAATTCAGAAATGTAGAGCATTTACAAAGATATTATTGTTCTAAAAGGTATGAAAATTGTCTTACAAAAAGGACATACAAAAGAGTTCTGCAACATTTTTAATGTGGTAAATGACAGACATCCCCGATTTACCACAATTCAGCTTTAAAATTGTATGACTTTACAATGAAACAAAAGAAACTGTTCTTAGAATATAATTCTGATCTTTTCCTGGGTTAGTGATCTATCTCACTGCCATAGTCTCCTGTGATGATAGGCAGCAACAGTGAGCCATAGCTCTCAGTCACATGATCACAAGGGTAAACAACAAGATACTATATTCCATAAGGTAATGAATGTAATCAATAAATTATGAGTCACTCAATACTTTATTATGAAATAAATTTTGTAGATGACTTTGTCCAACTGTAGGCTAATGTAAGTGTTCTGAGCACACTTAAGGTAGACAGGGCTAAGCTTTGATGTTTGGTAGGTTGTATGTGTTAAATGCACTTTAAACTTAGATGGGTTTATCATGAAATAACTTCATTAAATTCAGAAGCAATTGCACTGTACTATATGCTTAAGATTATTATGTGGGTAGCTCTCATGCTAAATCTTACCACAAAAAAAGACAACATAGAAATTGGTGAGATAATCCATGCTTTTGTGCTCTCCTGAATTATAAAAGTAATTTGTGCTTATTTTAGAAAATTCACAAAACCTAGGAAAGGGGTTATTAGAGTTGTAGCTCAGTGGTAGAATGCTTGCCTAGCAAGTGTGAGGCACTACTATTATTTTGGTCTTTTTCTTCCACTCTCATGTATCTGTGTGTATGTGCCTGTACTTTTCTTATTTATCAACATACACTTCCACTATCATTATATATTGTTCAAAAGCATGATAATCCATCTTTTAAATGTTTAATAATCCTTATTTGGTTTTTTTTGTGTGTGGGGGGGGAGGGGTATTAAAATGATTAAAAGTCTTGGCCCACAGCTCTGATTATTTCCTTAGACAATTCCCTGAAAGATATTGCTGGGTCAAGGAGTAAGAACATTTCTAAAGCTCTTGAAAAGATTGCCAGGCTTCTTTTAGAAAGGGGAATATACCACTCTATGAAATCTAATCAATCATGCATGAGGGTACTCCATTGTCTCCACCTCTCCATGCTGTTCCTTACATTACCACAAAACTATACCTTTATGAAGCTTAGTAAAAAACTAAGGCCAAGACATAAGCATATGTTACCATACCTACCTGAGTTTAAAATATAAAATATTTTTAAAAAATACTTATTTTAGTTTTAGGTGGACACAATATCTTCATTTTATTTTTTTGTGGTGCTGAGGATCAAACCCAGTGCCTCACACATGCTAGGCAAGCGCTCTACCATTGAGCCACAACCACAGTCCTAAAATATAAAACATTTTAAGGTAGTTAACATAAGTATCTGTGTATTACCAATATATATATATATATATATACACACACACACACACACACACACACACACATATATATACACCTTGAGAATAAAAAGTTAGTAAGAATAAAATAGAAATACTGGGCTTAAAATTATCTAGACAAACACTTAACTTTATAAGTTTAAAAAATAAAAAAAAAAACTGAGCCTACCATTGATCCCAAAATGGAGACCACCTCTCAATAAGCATAAAACCTAAATTTTCCAATTCTTAGACCTTAGCACTATTCAGAAAGTGAGTCATAAATTCAATATGCTAAGGGTTGAGGGTGTACCTCAAGGGTAAAGTATGTACTTAGCAGGCTGGGGTTGTGGCTAACTGCTAGAGTGCTTGCCTAGAAAGTGGAAGGCACTGGGATTCAATTCTTAGCCCCACATAAAAATAAATAAAGATATTATGTGCAGGGCTGGGACTGTGGCTCAGCAGGAGCGCACTTGCCTGGCATGTGTGAGGCACTGGGTTTGATTCTTAGTACCACGTATAAATAAATAAAAAGATCAACAACTAAAAAAAATTTAGGAAAAAAGATATTGTGTTCATCTATAACTAAAACATATTTTTTAAAAAATGTACTTAGCATGATTCGAAGCTCTAGATTTAATTCCCTCAAAAAAAAAGAAAGAAATTTCTTATGCCTATAATCCCAGCAACTCAGGAAGCTGAGAGAAGAGGACTGCAAGTTCAAGACCAAGCTCAGCTCAGCAAATTAGTGAGGCCCTAAGGACTTAGTGATACCCTGTCTCAAAATAAAACATAAAAAGGGCTCTGGATATGGCTCAGTGGTTAACTGATCTTGGGTTGAATCCCCAGTACAAAAAAAAAAAAAAAAAAAGCCAGGCGCAGCATCATAAGAACATAACCCTAGCTAGCGACTAGTGAGGATGAGGCAGGAGGATCACAAATTTGAGACCCTGTCTCAAAATTAAAATATTTACCTGGCATGGTAGCACAGGCCTGTAATCCCAGTGGCTTGGAAGGCTGAGGCTGGAGGATCACAACTTCAAAGCCAGCCTCAGCAACTTTAGCAAGGTGTGAAGCAACTTGCAACTTATCTCGAGACCTTGTCTCAAGATTAAAAAATAAAGAGGGGCTAGGGAAGTTGTTCAGTGGTTAAGCACCTCTGGGTTCAATCCCTGGTATAAAACATTTAAAAAGGATTAGGGATGTATGTAGTTCAGTGATAAGGCACCCCTGAGTTCAATTCCCAGTACCACAAATTTTGAAAAATTTAGTATTCTCATTTATAAAATGAAGCTCTTCTAAATGATTTTTACAAATTAGGCTTTAAAAAGCCTTCCAATGAAGCAGCACAAAATCTGCTTCTGAATACCCAGGTTTTTATGGTACCTTCTTCACACTATTACTGGAAAAATTAAAGCATTAGAATTTTGCAAACTGCTGAACTATGTAAATGTATAGTATTTACTTACATGTATGTATAAATACAATGAAGTCTGTAAATGCACATGTATAGTATTAGAGAATGAGTGTATTAACTAAGAAAAGGTCCTAAAAGAGAGTTGGACTCTCTTGAAAAGTGATTTCAAGGGATGTCAAAGTAAATATTACATAGGAATTCCAGGTACAAAATGGACATATCTGGGGAAAAAGTTGTAGCAAGGAGGAACAGCTAACCTATCATATAGAATGAAAAGAACAGCTTGACAATTCTGGTAGAGTGCTTGCCAAGCATGTTCCAGTATCTTTTGGTTGTAAAAGAAAGAAGTATAACCAGCTAATCAACAGCTCCATCCATTTCTACTAGAGGAAGTGCCAATGTAAATAAAACTGTACTTTTAAAACACATATTAAAAAGTCTAGTTCTAAAGTCAAAGAAAAACTCAAGTCCCATTGTACAAGTCCAGCAGCCTGACAATTGACCAAACATGAAAAGGTGGAGATTTAAAGAATGCAACTGAAGCCTCTCTCTTCGTTTGCAATATAAATATTTAAATATAATACATTTTAAATGATCACCACAAAGAACTGCCAAGCATGGATTCTATTTTTTCTGAGTTAACGAAATATGAAACAAAGACCACTAATGAAAGAAGTGGGTGTGAACATATATATTCTACACAGATTTCAATTTCTAAAGGTTTTGGGTCTAATAAATTTGAGTGCTTTTTCTTAAAATGTGAGCATAACATAGGGAAAAGTATTGTTATTACCTCTGTCCCTGCAAGCAGGTGTTTACCGTAGAGTTACTATTACCCAGGGCAAAGCAATCAGGGTTTTGTTTTTCCACGTTTCAACTGACAATAAAAAACTAGAGGCTGCTGCGGAAGAAGGAGAGAGAGGAGGGTATTAATGCTTTTATTTGTAAAGGATCTCCATTCTTAACCCTGAATTTTCAATCGCCCGCACAAAGCCAGCCTACAAAGACCTCCAGGCCCGGGAGCTAGGAGCTCTTTGTACTAGGAAGCACCGTGGTCAGGGCGCCCTCCCCCGGCGCCATGCGGATCCCCAGAGTCAATGCCTGGTCTAGTGGCGTGCTCTAACCTCTGGTTCACACTCGCCTGTTCTTTTTTAGGTAGTGTGAAGGCGCTGCGGGGAGTGCTCCGGCCCCAACAGATTTTCTGGATCACAAACACCTGGCTAGCCGGCCAGCGCCCACCCTCACGCGGCTCCTCCCCCACGATATCGCTGCCTAGCTGGTTTCCGCTGAGCTACCCCAACTGAAGCTCAAATTGCCCCCACCCACGCAGGCCCCAGTTAGCCTGGGCAAGTCCCCACCCCCGCTGCAAGCTCAAGGGTCGCCCCTTCCTCCCCGAAGAGGAGCAGGGCGGTGGGTACTTATCTCTGACCTCCGGCAAGGCCTGCAGCTGCAAGGCCTCGGGTCTTCCAGCTCGGAAGATCGCGCGGTAAGCGCCCGACACCGCCGCAAAATGGACTCGCGGCGCTGCACGGGCCCCGCCCTCCTCCGCTGGCACCTCGGACTCCACCCCCGGCGTGTACCTTTGTCCCGCCTCCCGGGTCGGGCCTTCCCGGGGGAGGTGAGGCGGGAGTCCTTCCGGTGTCTCCAACGGCCGCCGCCCTCCTAAAAGGGGGCGGGTCCTCGCTGCTCACCCTTCTCCCTTCCAGGAGCTGCGCGCGCGCAACTGGGAACGCTGGCGACGGAACGCTGTGCTTTCCCCCACGAAACCACCCGGGAAGGAAGTCTACCAGTTAAGCCGACGAGCAATGAGATGGTTGGGTTTGGATTGTTGTACTTTTTTTTTTGTTCGTTGCATTTTTAGGAACAAAAAAAAAAGCCCAACCCTTCACACCACTTCATCTGCATCTCTCAGGACCAGAAGTGAGGCCACCGCGACTAGGAGAACGAAGATCACTTGTCTGCCCCGCGCCCCATCCGAGGGTAGGGTGGGACGGGCACATCGGCGCCGCGCCGAGCTGCCCACCTGCTGTAGCGGGGTCTGCGGCCTAAGCACCACCAAAAGACTGGTTAACTGTCGTCCCTCCTCTCCGTCGTTGCACCTATTTCCTTGCAATTTTTACGCAAGACACCAGTTCTACTTAAATTTTTAGGCGACCCAGTTAAATTCTCTTGCAGGAAATATATATATATCTCACTACTGCTTTTTTCTTTTTTTTTTTTTTTTTTAATTACCCGGTGTTAACAGTTGTTCAATTCCTAATCTGACTCTTCTGGTGTCTGCCCCCTGTGTGGGGATTTTGTTTAGCACCAGATGTATAAGCACTTGCTGGTGACCAGTCTGAAAAGGGTACAAAGATGATGATGAAAATGGTTCACCTCCAAAGCTTTAAAATTTTGAGGGAAGTGAGGCAAGTACAGAACCACAGATGAAGCTCTAGGACTACATTCAGTCCAAATTGGGGAAAGTCTGGGCTTTGAAGGGAAGTAGTAGATTATTAAAAAAAAAAAAAAAAAAAAAAAAAAGTATTCACTATTTATCATACATAGTACTTGATTAATAATAATAATTTAGCCTAAACGCATAAAGTCCCTTGCCATTTACCCTGTGCATCTTACTGACTGCAGCAATGTAACACTTTATAGAACAATTCCTGTAATTTGTCTTCTAGTCTGAATAAAAACACTGAAATGGGAATTAATGATCCTTAGCCTATAAATGAGGAAGCAGGTGAAGTGAATTCTCCATGGTTTGAAAAAACGAGAGGCAGAGTGGAGGCTAAAATCAGATTCCAGGTACAGATTCTTTCTACAGCAGCACAACTGTCAGTGCCAATGAAAACCATACCCCAGCTCCCCTAAATTAGTGTTACTAAAAACTGGCTTATGAAAACATTTCAAACACCTTAATATTAAAATGATACAAGAGTGAAAACTAAGTCATTAACTCATAAGCCACAATTGTCCTTAATATAATTTATATAAGACATATTTATGTAATTGTATCTGGTTGGTGGTAAATACTAATTAATAAACTTCTGCCCAACTAAATGTAAAACGCTTGTTAAATCTACATAGCAACCCCTAGACTGTTAAAAATTAACGACTAAGTAAAGAGCATAGTATATTAAACTCTCAGGTTTAGAAAAATGAAGAAGAATAGCTGCCTCTTTCATCCCATGGTCCTAATATACACAACTATTGAACTACCCACATGTAGTGTGCCTAGAAAAGAGTGGCTGCCCTATTAAACCTGCATACACAGCTACATCCTTCCTGGAAGAGCACAATGTAACTAGATCCTGGTAGAGATAACACAGGGGTTGTCAAAATTCTTGTCACACTGGAATTTCCTTCTATTGACTCTTCTTTCAATAAGTAAACTAACAGCTGAGGCTTGAATTCACATATTGGCCCAGCAGTAAAACTATACAGTCTTACATAAGTTTCTGGGGTTTGTGATAAAAATGTTTTTGAAGTGGTATAATTTCTATTTATGAAGATATATATATATATATATATATATATAAAATTTTTATTATACACATACACATGCACATGTGTGTGTGTGTGTGTGAGTGTGTGTGTGCACATTGGTGTGTTTCTTGTGTTGATTTATCTCATGGTGTGGCTTTTGTCCCAGTCCTTGACAAAGGTAAAAACTTCTTAGCTTTCCTCCCCATCTAATAATACAAATGTGATCAAGATATTCCATCACAAAAATGTATGCACACTAAAATGTAAATTGTGAGTGATGAACTACCAATAACTAGGTCTGGAGCAACTATATATAGGGGAGTGGTGCTGGTGAGCCTCTCCAAGTACATTGGAACATTTTTTTATTATTATTCTCCCCTATAACTGCCAAAGTTATGAATGCAAGCCCCCAAATTCCCCATTAGAATTCCTGCCCCCCAAAGACACTGACATTACAAGGTATAGTGCAATGTCTAAAGGATAGGCTTTAGAATGAGTTCTGTATCCAAATTCTGTGTTTGCCACTTATTAGTTGTTCAAGTTACTTGGTGTCTCTAAGCCTCAGTTGTCTCTGTAAAATGAGAAATATGTCACAAATTTGATTTTAGTAATAATTAGGTAACATAAAGCAACCAACATTTGTCTGACATACAGTAAGTACTTAATAAATGGTTGCTACTGTAATATGGTAGAAGAAAACCATGAATAATAATAATAATAGTTATTATTATCATCATCATTATACTTGCCTTGAGTTTGTAAACCTGGGGCTCAAGAGCACAATAGTAATCGTAAGCAGAGCTAAACTACTGTCTCTTCAGTAGAGGAAGACAGCGCCATAATTTCTGCTTTTCTCCATCTAGCACAGGGTGATTGCATGTTACGAGTGGGGGGGGAGGGTAAAACACAGGGCGCTTTATCACTGAGCTGAGCTGCATCCCAACCATTTTTATTCCTATTTCTTTTTTTTTCTTTTTTTTTTTTTTTTTTTTTGAGACAGGGTCTCACTAAGTTGCTGAAACTGAAATTGTTCTCGAACTTGGGATCCTACCTCAGCCTCCCAAGTAGCTGCAAGTAGCTGGAATTACAAGGGTGTGCCACCACACCCTCTTCAGCATGGCCTTTTAAAAGCATATATCTTTCCACTTCTCAATCCCTTCTCCTATATCTGGGCAAAGGAGAGACAAAGGAAAATTCATATACAAGGAAGAAAGACTTTGCTGATTTTTTTAAAATATTATATTTTAAGAAAATTGAACATTCAAAAGTATTCCATTAAAACCTGGGAGGGGGATCTAACTGTAAAAAAGTAAAAATTCATCACAAAAGAGAAACTTACCCAAGAACTGATGAGATTAAAGGGAATAAGTCCTTGTTTGAAGAAAATTCCAGACTTCATATATTTCAGTTACAGTAAAGAGCATGCATTAAAGGGGTTGATAGCAAGATCAGTTAGCTTTGTAAGAAAATGAGAGACACTTAAGCAATAGTAAACTTGTCCTTTAGTTATTGCTGTTTCTGTAGATAGAAACTGTAAGAAAGTGATACATATGCTTATAATTTTATACTCAGTCAAATTTTAGGCACCAAAAGTACCAATCAAGGAATTTCCCCTTTGGTTTAAGAGCCAATATAGAGATAATATAGGGGGCTGGGGATGTAGCTCAGTTGATAGAGTGCTTGCTTCGCATGCATAAGGCCCTGGGTTCAATCAATCCCCAGCACCACCACCAAAAAATAAAAGTTAGTTGGGTCTCAGAGCCAGAATGAGTGATGAAGACAAGGTCAGGGAAGGTACCAGAAGCATCAGGGAAGGTGCACCAGGGAGGTAGAGTTGAATCAACTTTTAAAGATCATGGGATTTGGGGCTAGGGCTGAGCTTAATGTTAGCTCTTGCCTAGCACCAGTAAGGCACTGGGTTCCATCTTTAGCATCACATCAAAATAAACAAAATAAAGGCATGCTATCCATCTACAACTAAAAATTAAAAAAAATTTAAAAAGATTATGGAGCTAGGGATATAGCTCAGTTAGTAGAATGCTTGCCTCACATGTACAAGGCCCTGGGCTCAATCCCCAGCAACACACACACAAAAAAAAGAATCATTATAAAAAATTTTTCTAAAAAGATGGAATTTGAATAAGAGAAAAAAGGAAGAATATTTGAGGTGAGGAACACAGCACAAGCTCAAGGTGGAGATAGCCTTTGTCAAAGAAGAATGTGGCCTGCTTTAGAAATAAAGCTGGAAGCCAAACTGGTATGTTTTGAATGTCAGAATAAAGAGTTGAATTTCATTAAGTAGGAAGTGGAAAGCTACTGAATAATATGCGGGTGGCACTAGCAAAATGAAAGAATTTTAGCAAGATTTATCTGACCATAAGGTCCAAATTTTAAGGAAGAAAGAATTATCTTTAAAACTCTTGAGGGCTGGGGTTGTGGCTCAAGCTGTAGCGTGCTCGCCTGGCATGCGTGGGGCCCGGGTTGGATCCTCAGCACCACATACAAAGAAAGATGTTGTGTCCGCCGAAAACTGAAAAAATAAATAAAAATTCTCTCCCTCCCTCCCTCCCCCCCTCTCTCTCTCTCTCTCTCTCTCTCAAAAAAAAAAAAAAAACTCTTGAGGTAGCCAGACATGGTGATGCATGCCTACACTACCAGCAACCCCGGAGGCTCAATCTCAAGTTGGAGGCCAGCCTGGGCAACCTAATGAGAGACTGTCTCAAAATGAAAAATAAAAAGGTTTGGGGTTGTAGCTTGTTATTAGAGTACCTCTGGGTTCAGTCCCTAGTACCAAAGGGGTTAGGGAACTCCTGAAGTTTGTTATTAAAATTTATAGATTTTTAAAATGAAACAATGGATATAAAAGTACAGCTTTTATGTTGTAGTCCTATTGAACCACTTAATATCAAATATCTGTTCATTTCTCAATTTGTAAAAAAATAGAATGAGAAGTTCTAAATCTTCCGAAAGAAAATGAGATGCACATATATATTTATGTGCATACGTATATGCATATAATTATATGTGCATATATATAATTTATCTTATATCTTTATAATTTTTCTTACTGTGATGATCTTAACAGTGATATGTAAATGTCCAGTTAATGTAAATGTCCAGTTACTTAGCTACATTTTAGAGGATGCCTTAATAAAGCTTTAAAAGTCATTACCTATATATTTCTGAAATATACTACTGTTATGATATTTTAACAATAATTACATTCAGCTATGATGATTAAATGTGTGCATTTAAAAAATATTTTTTAGTTGTAGTTGGACACAATACCTTTTATTTATTTATTTTTATGTGGTGCTGAGGATAGAACCCAGGGCATGTGTTAGGCGAGCACTCTACCACTGAGCCACACGCCCAGCCCTAAATGTGTGCATTTTTTTCCCCTTTTATAGTACTAAGGATTGAACCCCAAGCTTTCATTATGCTAGGGCAAGTACTCTACCACTAAGCCACAAACTTGGCCTCCAAATATATATTCTTTTTGATGAATAACTCCATGAACGCCTTTAACAGATTATTAATTCAGGTAAAGATGAATAAATGATGTAATTTATAATTGTTTGAAAAGTTGATTTGAATTTCTGTTAAGTTCATTAATTATTATGTACTTGATTTTTATCTTGAGAATGACTTTTTAATGACAAAATCATTTTGGTTTAGAAAACTACTTTCATGGTTGTATGGGACATTTTTAGACTATTCTGCAAATATAGGGGAAGGGTTATACAATTTTCAGTAGCTGGTTTCTGTATTAAACATACTCTTCTTGGGTGTCCCGGGATCAAACCTGGAAGCACTCTACAACTGAGCTAAATCTCCCGTTATTTTTAGTTTTTATTTTTAGACACGGTCTCACTATATTGCCCAGACAGGCCTTGAACTTGTTATCGTTTTGCTTCAGGCTCCCACATTGCTAGGATTACAGGTGTGCATCACCATGCCTGGCTTTAAACATACTTTCTTTAAAGTAACACATCTCAATGAACTTTGCTTCTGAGCATCTATATTCATCAGAAATCTATATAGCACTACACAAGAAATACATGCTTTTTTAAAAACCATGAATCCAGTTAGTTCTCTCTGAAATAAAAACATTTTGTAATAAATGCCGTGTCAAAATGTGTTTATCTTATAATGGTCTCATTTGTAACATTATGCAGATTGTTGCTAGAATGTGTTCAGATTTTCAGAAGCTTGGGATGG